GCTCGTCCAGGCTTCACAAAAGTGAAACCTGGTGGCCTTGTCAGAAGTGGCCCGGCTGCTGAGGCTGGTGATGAAGCTTTTCTAGTTCTCATCCTCCCGGGCTCGGCTGTGGCGTTGTCCAAACAGCGCTAAGTGTTGTCTGTGGACCCCTTCAGAGTTAGGCCTGAATGGCGGTGGGGGCCGTGCCTTTAAGGAGTCCCCAGGGCTCTGACCCAGTGTTGGGAGGGCTGCCCGGGGCTGTCATTTCTGGCCAGACCTGGCTGGTGGGCACCAGGAGACAGGAACCTAACCCCAGCTCTGTTCTGAGCGGCTGTGCCCTTGTCAGGAAGGCCCTTCCCATCCCAGGGAAGTTTCTCTATCTTTAAAGAAGTCCATAGATAGGTGATTTTTCCAAGTGGATCCCTCAGGAGTGGGACTGGGGGAGTGGAATGGGCAAGCTCTGGGGTCCTGCCACCTGCTCTTACGGGCTTCACATCCTGGAGGCCCATGTGACTTTGAAGGGACTGGAAGCACCTGCTCCCCAGCTCTGGCTTTTGGGGATGCTTTGGCTGAGTGCTCAGAGGGCCCCTTCATGGCCCAGGCCCCTTTGAGTCTCTGGCCCCATGGAAGCCCTGTCTTTCTGGTCAGAAAGCTGCTGCCAGGGCCTCCTGCTTTGGGGCTGCTTTCTACCCCAGCCTGGTGCTGACTGAGGCAAGAGTACAGCCCGTTGAGATTGCCCCAGCAGCAGCATTTCCCAACTCGGTGTGAAAACACGAGGCTGTCCTAGAGTGACTCAGTTCTTTGCCTGAGTGACCTCTGAACTCAGCAGGGCTGGTGGTCCGTGTTTCTTGAAACCGGAAATCTGCTTAGGGTCTGGCTGAGATGTTTTCATGGTTTCTCATCAGCCCTGCCTGCATTGTGGCCCCTGTCAGAGCACTGATCCCTGGACTTTGTTAGACAGGCCTGTGGTCACTAGAGCCTGGTCCCACAAAACCCGGAACTTTCTTGTTGCCACAGACCACCGCTATCTGCCCTGGATGTCCGGGGCACTCTGAGGGCTGGTACCTGCCCAGAGGTGGGTCCTTAGGCAGTCTCTGTGCTCTTGTCCTGAACGATGAGGCAGGGTCTGCTCAGAGTTGAGGGGGGCCTGTGGGGGCCGAGGTGATAGACTCCAGCAGCAGGTGGGTCTGGCTGACTAGGGCATGCACCGTTCGGGCTTCTTGCTCAGAAGTTGCACTTGGAGCCTGAATGAATCTCTGAGGGCTGCACAACTGGACGGCGGAATGTGGACATTTGAGAACTTCCTCTACTGGCTGCTCCCCATCTTTTATCCTCCTTTGAAAAACAAATCTGCAACAGCTCTGTTGAGGTATAATATGCAAATCATAATATTTTACGTGTACAGTTCAGTGGCTTTTAGTAAACTTAGTAAATTTTTTAAAGATTTTATTTTTTTGAAAGAGAGATCGAGTGCGAGCAGGGGGAGGGGCAGAGGGAGAGGGAGAAGCAGGCTCCCTGCTGAGCGGAGACCTGACTCGATCCCAGGACCTTGAGATCATGACCTGAGCTGAAGGCAGATGCTTAACTGAGTGAGCCACCCAGGTGCCCCATAAATTTAGTAAATTAACAGTTATTTACAATAAGTTTTAGGGAATTTACCACATCCAATTTTTAGGACACTTCATCACTCCTGAAAGGTCCCTCGTGCTCATTTGTACCATCCCCAGCTCCCAGGCAACCACTAATCTACTTTTTGTAAATCTAATTCTTCCAGACATTTCGTATCAGTGGAATCATACAGAATGGGATTTTTGGGGTCTGACTTTTTTCACTTAGCATGTTTGGAAGGTCCTGCATATGGTCATGTGGCAGTACTTAATTTTTATTCCTGAATATTCCATCGTGTGGATGTACCTCATTTTATGTGCTCATCAGTTTCTCTTAGCATTTTGCTTGTGTCCTTGCTCTTCTAATGGTAGAATTTGTGACCTTGGGCAAGTCACTTCCCTTCTGTGGGCCTTAGAGGTTCCATCTTCAAAATGAGGAAGAGGTTAGACTTAATCTCTGATACGTTAAACAAAAATACTGAACAACTGCCATTTTTCTGGGAACTGTGCCAAGCTCTTTACACACACACACTCCCTCATTCGGCAAGGTTCTGTTACTATTCCCAAGTTCACTGAGGCTCAGAGAGGTCACATCCCTAGGATCTCAGAGCCAAGATACATCATTTATTCATTTGTGCACTTTGTGCCAGGTGCTGTTCAGGCCCAAGACTACAACAATGGAAAGGCTCAAAGTCCCTACCTTTGTGGGGCTTGTGTTGCAGTAGGATAAACAGGCAGTAAATAGCCATGTCATGTCAGGTGGTGGCAGGTGTAAGTGAGGGGAAGAAGAGGTCTTTGTAGATAGTGTGGTCAGGGAGGGCTTCTCAGAGGAGGTGGCATGGGGGTTAAACCTCAGAAGAATTGCTGTGAGGTCTGGAGGCAGAGTCTTTCGAGCTAGGGCAGTTCCGGGAACAGGAAGAACAAGGACTGCTTCCAAGGGTCACTTCCACCCTGCATGCTGGGATTCCCTTCTGAGTATTTTCGTTTAAATAAATATATACCTCAAAAAGAGTGTAAATGATGCACGTAAGTTATAAATAATACACCTGGATGTGCCTACCACCAAGCTTAAGAACTAGGACATTGCAGTGCTTTAAAACTCCTGGGTGTCCCTCCTCCTTCAGAAAGAGCTACACCCTGAACTGTGCATTTTCATTCCATTGTTTTCCTTCTCATTTTATAACATTTGTATATTTCCATAAATAGGATGGTCTTCTCTGGTCTGCAGATCTTCTGCAGTGCACTTTGCTCGCATGGTATAGTTGTGAGAGAAGGCTGGTGTTGGATCTGTGTAGTTCACTCATTGTCACTGCCCTGCAGAGCATTCTGTTCTGTGAGCAGAGTGTGATTACCCTATTGTGCTGATACACACGTGGGTGCCTCCCGGTGTGGCCACTGCAGACAATGCAAGGACAGCCCCTGTCCTTCCTGGAGCACATCTGAAGCGAGGCACGTGCACATTTGGCTGGGGGAGGGTTTCTGTGATGCAGTTGCTGGGCCTTAGGGAATGTGCATCTGCCCCTGCTGATTGGTTTCTTTGTAACCGTTAAAAGATGACTCGGGTTTTCTATTTCTTCTTGAGTCAGTTTTGGTAAGTTATTATTATTATTATTATTATTTTTGGTAAGTTATTTTTTCCTAGACATTTTTCTGTTTTGAAATTTATTTGCATCAGGTTGTTTGGAGTAGCCTATCATCTGTTAGGCCTGTCCTTCCATTTTTGGGACTTGCCCTTTCTTTTTCTAGATCCTGCCTTATCAGAAGTTTACTAAATTTATACTCTTTTTTTTTTTTTTTTTTTGGTATATTTGCTTCCCATTCCATGAGTTTCTATTCTTTATTATCTCTCTACTGTCTTTTTAAGTTGTTTCTTAGCTATGGGTTTTCAATTCTTGTGGTTTTTAGTTTCTTCATTGGGTACTACATAATTCTTTTTCACAGCAGATTATTTCTCTTTGTACTTCTACACACTGAGGCTTGCCTCCGTGAGGCTGTTGTAGGTGCTTGGCCTCCCTGGTTTGTTCATTTGCCGAGGAGCCTTGTGGTTCCTTGTGATGTGGGCCCAGCTGGAGTATGGCAGGAGAGGGGTCATTTTATGGAGCTAGCAGCCATATGTCCTGGTAATGGAGAGCAGCCTCGCCAAGGGGTGAGGGACCTTCTCTCTACTACTGCAGGGAAGCTGGTGAGCAGGTGGAGTGTGTGCTAAAGGGAGGAGAGTGGGAATGCCTGGAAGAATGTGTCTTCCGCTAGGTGGGACCTTTGAGACACTTAGGCCTTGCCCTCCCCATCAGTGCCCCCTTCACAGACTGGCTAAACTGGGACTGGGAGTGACTGTTCAGGCCAGTGCAGGTTTGGGACAAACTTGTAGCCCCCTGTGCGTCACAAAGGGTAGGACAGAAAGTGTCCTCCGTCCCCCACGCTGCGCCCCCCCAGCTGTCTAGCCAGTTTGCATCCATGGGTGTGTCACAACACCGGGGGGGGCTCCACCCACAGATGTCCCCCTCCCCCCCAGACAAGTTGGGGTTGCAGGGGAAGCCACAGGCTCCATACGCTCTCGGCCCTGAAGGCCCTGTAGTAGGTTGAGCTCACAAGTAACCATCTCAGTCTTTGGCTCGGTTCTTCCCTCCCTCCTGTCCTCAGGGCGTCACGGTTCCCACCAGCACATGAAGAGTTGGAAGCACCGGGCGGTTTGGCATCTGGTCTTCCAGGAGATGGTGGTGGCCAGTGATGAACTGGCTTCAGATGCATTATCTTATAGGGCCTCCCCACGCCCCCACCTAGCATCCCCATTTACAAATGAAGGAGCTGAGCCTCAGGGAGGTGAAGCACTTGGTCTGTACGTCTTGTCTCTGTGGGTACGAGGACAGGCAAGCAGTGAGGCCAGGATGCGGGCTCTGGAGGGAATAACCTTGTAGGCTCGCCCCTCATGGGCCTAGCAGGGAAGGGTTACTCTTCAGCTTCTGGTGTCTCTTCCTACCTGACCTTCTCCCTCCCACCACATCTCTGGCCAGGTCTGGGCATGCTTCCACCACGTGTAGAAAGGGCTTGAGCCACATCATCGATCCCTGAAGCCCCTGTGGGGGAATGTTGCCCTGGGCTCACCGGGTGGGCGGGGCAGGGGGAGCTCCTGCATCTGTCTGCCGTCTGTCTGCCCACCTTCTCCCCTGCGCAGGTTGGCCCACTCTCCACCCACCCCCTTCCCCAACTTCTCCTCATGGGGTCAGCACATTTCTGAGACAGGATCCTCAGAGCCTGGGCTGCCCTGGGAGGCCGGGGAGGCAGGAGGTCAGCTTGACTGGTGTTGACTGGGCTGTCCTCCAGCTAAGTTCAACACGAGGGACAAGGGGGAGGGGTCCCAGCCCCGCAGAGCAAGGTTTCCTATTTATGTCTCCTCACCTCCCTCTTTCAGGCCTAATGTCTTTTCCCCATGACCGGGAGTTCATAGAGATGGCTAAGTATAAGCTGAGTGTGTGCTGGGAACGTGGTACTAAACCAGCATGGACAGTTCTGGGATTTCTCTACTAATGTGTCTGCGCGGGGAGTGACTCACCCCCTAACCCAGTATGGGGGGTCGACTGGCAGGGGAGGAGGGAGGCGCGTGAACTCCAGGTGCTGCATGTGCCCTTGGGTTTGGCATCGGGCATGTTTCCGTGTCAGACCCCTGAGCAGCGCCGAGGGCTGCACTAAGCTGCATGGAGCGGGCGGCTGGGAGGCCCGTGCCCTGAGGCTGTACCTGTTCACAGAACTGTGGACCAGGAATTCCAGCATGTCCTGGCCCCCCGACTGGCTGACTCACAAGGGTCCTAAGAGACCTCATCGAGTCTCCGCTAAGGTGTGACCCTTGCATTTTCTGTTGCTCATGCAAATTGTTACTTGCAGGGAACTGCATTTAGTAGAGCAAAAGGCAAAAAAAAAAAAAAAAAAGGAGGAGACCCCTTGACCCCACCACTCCAGGGCTGGAAGGGCAGCCTCTTGCTTTTGTCAGCAGCCCCTCTGCCCCTGTGACAGGCAGAAAGGGTTGTTGTTTTTCCATGATCGGAGCCTTTGTGGAAGATGAGATAATATGTGTTGCCTTTTAAATTCTGCACAAAAGCTTGGCTCCTAATGGCTAGCCTTTCCCATGCCAGTTGAAAAACGGCCAAGTAGCTCAGTGATGCCTCGGAGAGTCCGAAGCCCCACTTTCCCGGCTGCCAACTCCAGGTACTGAGGCTGCTGGGAGCTTTGTGGCCATTCCATGAGCCTTCCCCCTTGCCGCCTCCCCATGGCCTGAGAGAACCAGCACCTCTGGCGGCTAGGAAGGCAGGGTGCCCCTTGCGAGTGGGCAGCGTCCTGAGCAGGGCCCCTGGGCCGTAGCTTGCTGGTCAGACACAGCGGGGCCCCCGCTCCTCGGCTGCTGCTAGAAGCCTAGGATCTAGGCCCTAACCTCTAGCCTCCGCGCTGCCTTGCATGGGGTCCGTTCTGGGCTCTGGGAGAGGGTGACCCCATGCCACCCATAGTGATGTCCTTAGGACCCCACGCAGCCGTCCCAGGAGCAGGAGTGTGTGGCTCTCTGATTAGCCAGGCCTGTGGCTCCTTGGCATATGTACCCCTAGGTCCCCGTATGTGGGCCTGGGGTGAGCCCTGTCTCCCCAAGGCTCGGGGCCGTGATGCATGGGTCTTGTCTCTCTCCTGGCCCACAGCCACCCCACTTCATGCTGCAGTGCCGCGGAGATCATGGCTGTCCTCTTTTTCCACACCATGCGCTACAAGCCCCAGGACCCCCGGAACCCCCACAACGACCGCTTTGTGCTCTCCAAGGTAGGAGCCCAGCCGGCCCCCCTTCACCTGGGCCAGGTGGCGCATGGGCCTGGAGCAGTGAGAAGGTGCTGGCAACGAGGGATCTCTGAGGGGACCTCCCCCCTGGTGTCAGCCTGGCCCCAGCCCTCCCTTTCCACCCGCACTCCCTGTCTGCCGGCCCAGCCCGGCCCCACTCCTTGGTGCCTTACTCTGTGCTGACCCAGCCGCTGTACTTAGGAAATAAACAGCTGAATCCCTCGGGGACTGTGAGAATGATCTGCCAGATCTTCTGCCCCTGTTTCATATGAATAGGCAGGACTCAAGTGCAGGTCTGGGGTACAGCTTTGAGGCTTGGTGCACATGTGTTTCTGGGCCGGGCCGGCGCCCCAGGGCCCGCGCTTGCTGGCTGGGGAGTGGGGGAGCACTGTAGCAGGCTTTGGGCCGAGGCGCCCAGTCCCACCACTCATGCATGAGACTCCCAGCCAAAAACCATGCCACGGACCCCTGAAATCCACCTGCGCCCAGGCCTGGCACCGTGGCCTCTGGGCTCCCAGGGGCAGGCATGAGAGCTTAGAAGTCTGTCCAAGTCTGCTCCCATGCCAGAAACCGGGGATTAGGGCGGCCGGCTGCCTGCTGGGGTTTTGGCATCGGCGGGCCTCACAGCTGTGCGCCCCCTGCACCTGTCCCAGGGCCCATTCGGCCTTGGCTGTGGTTAGCTTCGGGCTGCAGAGGGATGGAAGGGGGATGTGGCCTTCACTTGCCACCTCCCTGAAAGGGCTGACGGGCTCATCCAGACCCCACTTTCAGTGTGCCCCCCAGTATTGACGCCCCAGCTGACGCCCCCTCCGCCGCTCATCCCCCCCCCCCCGCCTCAACAGGGCCACGCGGCTCCCATCCTGTACGCCGTCTGGGCCGAGGCCGGCTTCCTGCCCGAGGAGGAGCTGCTGAACCTGAGGAAGATCACCTCTGACTTGGACGGGCACCCCGTCCCGGTGAGCACACCCCACCAGGAGCAGCACAGCTCTCTGTGTCCACTTCCTGTTTTTCAGGGCATGTGGGAAGGGAGGCGGGATGCCCGCTGAGAAACTGAGGGTGTTGAAAGTGGGAGAAGAGGGCGTTGAGGTGAAGAAGGAAGGAAGTCGGTGTCTCCAGGGCACACTCTTCACCCCAAGCAGGTGCTTAAGGGCAAGGCCTTTGGAGGCCCCAGCCCAGGGGTCAGCTGCAGAGAAGACCTCTCCCCAGCCCCATACGCCCAGCCTCCCTGCCCCCACGGGGCCGCCCTGGCCTCGTCAACACAGCTGGGGAGAAGAGGTTCACCACGAGGTCAATAAGGGGGTCGCAGCAGGTGCTGGGGACACCCCAGGGAAGGGTCCCAGCTTACTCCCTGAGGTGCTGGCGCCTGCAAGTGTTTGGAGTTCATAGGTTACCATGAAAACTCACCCTCCATCTGGGCACCCGGTGGGGCTAGATGTTTCATGAGTCTTGTCATGGGTGGGGGTGAGGTGGGTGATGTGGGAGCCTGAGGTCGCCCAGCTCCCTTATGAGCACTCCTGGTATGTGAACCGCACCCACCGTGACCGTTCCTGGAGGGTGAGAGCTCACACTCCAGGTGCAGGCTGCCCTGGGGCTGGGCCTTTCTGCACACCCAGCCTGCACCTGGATCACCTGGGAGGGTGGGTGGGTTAATGCTCCTGCCTGCTCTTTGCTGTGACTAACTGTGGCCCTCTTGCTATGACAGAAACAAGCCTTCACCGACGTGGCCACTGGCTCCCTGGGCCAGGGCCTTGGGGCCGCTTGTGGGATGGCCTACACGGGCAAATACTTCGACAAAGCCAGGTAAGGCTTCCACTCCCCAACCCTACCCTCAGTAGTTTTGGGAGGGGTCCTCAGTGACCAAGTGACCAAGCCTTAACCATTGCCCCCAGGTACCTCCTCTTGGGCCCCATGGCCCCATTGTCTAACGAAGCGCCACATGCCAGGCTCGAGCCACTTGCCTTTATCTTGGGGAAGGAGATTATGTGTTCTGCAGGGTTCTGGGCATCCCCGAGCCCCACCTGTCAGTCAGAGAAGAGACAAACATTGGGGAGAAGGACCAGCAGAGGGTGGGCAGGCAGCCTGGTCCAGCACGGGGCAGTTTGGAAGAGAACCCCGTTGTGGCAGATCTCAGTCACAAGGCTGTGTGGTGTGGCAAGATTTGGCCTGCAGACAGGGATCTTTATTGGTAAGGAGGGGAGAAGAGTTGGCCGCAGACTCTTAAGGAAAGCATGCGTCAGATGGCTCCTTCATTCCTTTACTGACTGGGACCCCGCACTCAGTGTTTTATAGGGTTTCACCCCGATAAGCCCCCTGAGGGCTGGGTGGTGACATGAGTACACGTACCTCTCTCACAGATGGGAAACTGAGGTAAAATGCTTGCCTCGTGGTGGAGGCAGGATTTGAACCCAGGGTGTGTATCCAGAGTATATTAAGAGTCCCCAGGTTGCTCTGAGGGACCCGTGAGTAGGAGGATTCCTGGAGGAGGGGCTAGTGAAGCCTGGCCTGCGGGTGGCAGGAAGGGCCCAGCTCTGCAGCTGGGCTTCCCCAGTGCTCTACAGTCCACCCCACTGGCAAGAGAAGGGCCGTAGGCAGGGCAGTCATGATGGTGTGGTGGTGACCGTGGGCCCAGAGAAGAGAGGGACCGCAGTGAGCACCTACTTTATGCGGTGGCGGGGGGCGGGGGAGGGGGGAATCCTGAGACCGCTCTCTAGGAGTGGAGCTGAGGCTGTGAGGCCTTCCAGACCCTCTTGGGGCCAAGCTCAGCTCCACCAGAAGTGATTCACCGTGAAGTGAAGAAAGGCACAAAGAATGGGATGTATGTTTAAGAGTATTTTATTTGGCACAGAACCAGAGATGTGAGTTAATTATTCCCTACAGATGCTTGAAGTAATTCCCTGTGAAGGGTCATTTCCTGACCCTAACATAATGGAACAAGCCAGTGTAGGGAGAAGTTTAGCTGGGTTCCCAGCAGCCAGGGTTGGCTAAGGCTCAGGCCCTTGGACTGTACCTTGCAGGGAGGAGGGGGCGGGGCTGTCCGGGGAACTACCCTGCTCCCGGAGCTGGGGGCCTGATAGACTAGATCTGGCCTCTGGTCACGTCTCTCCTGTCCACCTACCAGGGAGCGTAGGTCAAGCTGGCTCTCTTTCTTTTCTCTTTGAAATAATTTTGTTTGAATTATCGAATACCAACTCATGTGAAAAATATGGAAACGCATTAAAAGGAAATGAACGTTTTCCTATTCTCAACTACCTCCCATTTGAATCTCACTTAAAATATCCTATTTCCTCCATGTTATTGTGAGAAGAAACTTACGGATTGGTAACCTCGTGAACTCCTCAGTGGCCAAGCCTTAACATTAACATTGCCGCCAGGTACCTCCTCTTGGGCCCCATGGCCCCATTGTCTGACGAAGCGCTTAGTATGTATACAGTTGTACATTCTTCTTTTTAGAAAAATAGAAAACTCTAAACGTGGTGCACATTTTCTCCCCTAACTGTCAAGAGCTGGTTTTAACGATTGCGTAATGGTCTTTCTGTTTTATGGATCTGCTGTAACCCGTTGGGCAGGCCTGTTGTGGTGGGACATTTGAGGTGCTTTTCAAACACGTCTGGGGCACACGTTAGGGTCCCTTGTCTTCAGGGTAGTTCATGACTGTGGGCCTTGGCAGCCCCCGCTCCAAATCCAGCAGCTTTAATACACAGCTTCTGCAGGCCTCCCCGGCGTCTCCTCGGGGACCCTAGCACGCCCTCCTGACCGGAGCCTGAGGCTGTGTCCACCCTTGGCCCCAGTCTGCCTTCCACAGCAGGGGGTGCGGGCTTGGGAAGGCGGCCGTGTGTTTCCCTGGAATCTCTTCCCAGGTAAATCAGATTCCCTCCAGTCTCTCTGGCCTTGGTGCCGTTAGGCTGCTCACTCTGGGGAGCTGCTGTGCCAGACGCAACCCCCTGCAGCATCCCTGGGCCCCCAGTGCGGCGTGCAGAGGGGAGAGGAGACCAGCCGCGGGGACAGGCCCCTGCGAGTGCGGGCCCCGAGACCCCTGCTCTCGGCCCAGGCCCCGGGGGCCTGGCCTGCTGAAGGCCACAGAAGGGAAGGCAGGGCAGAGGGAGGATGCAGGAACCTCCCTGACCTGGCAGCTGGCAGAAGTGCTGAGTCATGCTGACGGCGTGCCCTGGCGGTCCCTCCCGCCTCTTCCCCAGCTCCAGGGCTGTTGCCTGCTGCAGCGGCAAGGCGGCTGTGTCCCCTCTGAGCCTGTCCCTGTCCCCGCACGAGCCTCACCCCGTGGGGCCACACAGCTGGACGCTGGGCCGGGAGGGGGAGAACGGCCAGGCCCTGCACTGCCCCAGCTGTGTGCGTTCCTGGACAGCAAGGAGTGGATCGCGCGGGCCAGGCGATCCGACCTGTGTTTGAATCCCCGCTCGGCTCCTCCCCAGCTGTGTGACCTTTAGACAAGTCCCTTGACCTTTGAGCCTCTTTTCCCATCTGTGTGATTTGGGAGTAACAACTGTACTTACCTCAAGGACAGGGCCGCTCGGCTCGGGGAGCCCCTGGGTGCCACGCACCGGCCTGGGGATGATGGGGCCGTGTCTGACACCCTCCCTGGGGTCAGAGCAGGCTCTGTTCACTGGGTAACTTGCCCCAAGTTCAGTGCTCTTTTTACCAGGTCCCACTGCCTTTGAAGCCATCGTGGTTGCCTTGTTGACCCAGGACAAGGCCCCTGGGGTGGAAGTAGGGCTGGGCATGAATCTTGGGGTGAGAGCCAGCCTTGGAACCTTGGGGACAGCCCATCCTATGAGGCACTGTCCCCACCATGATCCCGGTCCTCAGCTGCCCTTGTTAGTGACCCATCTCCCACCTGACAGCTTACCCTGGGTTGCCCCTGGTGGCACATCTTGGCCCCCCCAGCCCACTCCTGGGATCAAGTTCCCAGGGCTCCCCAGTACTCCTAGTTCCTACATGGGTGGAGGGAAGCAGACCCACCCCATGCAGGTGGCTCAAGCCCTGTCCCCACAGTGAGAGTAGTCGCCCCTTCCGCCACCAGTTCTTGCTCATTTTACTAGCGCCCTAATAACCCCTGTTCTCTGGATCTTAGCGAGCAGAACCCTGGGTGTGGACGCGGCGTGGGCAGCAGGGACCTGACTGACAGCACTGTTGCGTGTCACATATGGCTGCTACTCCCGTCCCCAGGGGGACAGGCTCTCCAGGAGGGGTAGTCTGGCAGCACGGTGCCCCCGGTGAGGGGGGCTAGCCCCTGACCCACCGCCTCTCCACAGCTACCGCGTCTACTGCATGCTGGGAGACGGGGAGCTGTCCGAGGGCTCCGTGTGGGAGGCCATGGCCTTCGCCAGCATCTACAAGCTGGACAACCTGATTGCCATTCTTGACATCAACCGCCTGGGCCAGAGCGACCCCACCCCCCTGCAGCACCAGGTGGACGTCTACCAGAAGCGTTGCGAGGCCTTCGGGTAAGTCCGGGGCTGTGGCCCGAGCTGGGAGCTTTTCAGGTTCAGGGCCTGAGTCAGCAGGAGGCCACGCCCTATCTAAAGAAGGGGTCTGTTCTTCAGCGTTTGGCTCACAATTTCAGACTTAAAAGTGGCGACCCAGGCCACCAGCCTGGAGCTGTGGGCTGAGGCCCAGTGTGAGTGAGTTCCTTTACTGGTGAGGCTGTGGGACAGGATAGTCCTCAGAGCATCCACATCCACGTAACATGACTGCACCCTTCCTCGCTTGGTCCTTGGCTGAGGTGGGACGAGGGGCCCAATGTGAACCAGGCCAGCTCCGTGAGGCTAAGGGACATGTGGCTCTTGAGGGTTTGAGCCTCCGTCTGGGGGCCGCCTCCTGTGCCAGCCTGAGGGGGCAGAACAGGCCGCCTCTCTAAGTGGGACACGGGGTTTTCTGACCTTCACCGTGGGGCGTGAGTGGTTGAGAATTCAGAGTTCCATGTTACAAAGCAGGGAGGTCATCTGGGTGGGTGTTAGCCAGAGGGGCCCTCACCTCAGTGTCCCTCTCCTGCCCCAAATGAAAGCCTAGCTGCTCTTGGGGCTCCAGGGGACCTGGGCCCCCATGCTCAGCCTCAGCTGAGGAGTCTGAAAGACGCTGGGCCTCCGGGGCCACCCTTTGTAGATGAGTCTGCCTAGAGAAGGTCGAGGTGGGGTTGCGGTCCCTGGTTACACAGCAGCCGCGGGTTTGTTATCTCTGATGACTGACCTGATAGAGAAAGCGAGGAGAGGAAATACTCTTGTCGGACAGGGGAGGAAACTGGGCCGCCAGGTGTCCCAGGAGCCTCCTTAGGCCACACCGGTTGGGGACCTGGAGCATAACCCTGGCAGCGTCCCTGGGTCTGTAACCTGTGTCCTGAAGTCCTGGTTGTGTCACCAGCTTGCCTTGTGTTCTTGGGCAGGTTATCCCAACCTCAGTGTCAGTCTCCGTTTACGTGTCTATAAAATGGGGGCAGCCACAGCACCCCAGGGGTCATACTGAGGCTTCGGTGGGTTCGTGTGTGTGGCGCTTGGCCCGGGGCCTGCACAGAGCGGGCGCTCAGTACACGTTAGCTGCTACTTTATTACTCTTGATGTGACCGAGGCCCAGAAAGGACTGCCTTAAAGAGAAAGTGTGCCCTGCCCCGGCTCCTTCCCTTACATGTTTGGTGGCCTGGCTTGTTTTTCTTTTCTTTTTTTTAAGATTTTATTTATTTATTTGAGAGAGAGTGAGTGAGAGTGAGAGTACAAGCAGGGGGAGCGGCAGGCAGAGGGAGAGGGAGACTCCCTGCTAAGCAGGGAGCCCGATGCGGAGCTCAATCCCAGGACCCTGGGATCATGACCTGAGCCGAAGGCAGATGCCTAACCGACTGAGCCGCCCAGGCACCCTGGCCCGTTTGATAAATGTTTCCAGCACCTCACATCCAGCATCTGTGGAGTGACCAGATGCGTTCCCTAAACAAAAGTCAGGCCAAAACGTTCTTGAAGAATCTAACAGCAGACAGATTCCAGACCCAGGGCATTGTCCCCAATGCAGCGTTCAGGAAACACAAGTAGATCAGGAGCGAAAGAGAAAATAAATGAACCAAGCTTTGAAAGAGAAGAAAATCTTAAGAAAGAGAAAGAAAATCTGTTCAGAGGCAAGTAGGAGGAAGTAAAATAATTTAAAAAGGATAAAGAAAAAATAAAACCAAAAGTGGAAACAAAGTCTTTAGTGTTTTTTTTTTTTTTTAAGATTTTTTTTATTGATTTGACAGAGAGCCAGAGAGCACAAGTGGGGCGAGCAGCAGAGGGAGAGGGAGAGGCAGGCTTC